GAATACAGTATGCACTATAAATTTAATATGAACTATTATTTTTTGAAATGTCTAAAATTTTTTAAAAGAAGCGACTTGCTGAATGACAATCTCAATAATTTGTATTTCTCTGTTACATGGCAACCATCCGAGCCCCTGGTTATCTCTGCCATCCCGTCTTTCTAATTTTTCCCCCCAAGTCTTGTTTTGCTGAAATTAAGTCCAAGACAGAAATTAAAGTAAGCTGTAACAGAGCCTTTCTGGACCTTCAGGGATCAGAGATAAAGGCTGTCCAAGGTCTGACCTTCAGTTGTAAGCTTTGAAGTTCAAAAGTGGACAGGTGGAATTACTGTGTTCTTCATTGCCCTTTGGTGCAAGATATATTCTAGGTTGCCGAGTAAGTGCGAACAGCAGCAAAATTATGGCCCCCTCCTGCTACTAAGTAAGTCAGCAATGGCCCTTCTGTGGTCAAAATGGCAAATTCAGCAGCAGCTATTCGATAGGGATTTGCAAAAACTTCCCCATGGCTGTTAAGAATCTTGTTCAGCAGTGTCTTTGAAAACCTAATTTTGTGCAGAATTAGCCATGTAGATATGTCCTCGGCTGTACCCAAGTGTTTAAACCACATCTACTTTGTAATTTTTCTCTCCATGTCTGGTTTGCACCTAATGCTGCAAAATCTTTTAGGTACCTATACCGATGTCCAACATTTATAAGTTTCGTAGCCGTGCTGAATTTTATTTCCATTTTAAAATAACAAATCCCCGCCTTGATGGAGTCAGCTCCCCATACAAAGCCACTATACATCACTGGGGGCTGTGGTGGAAGAATGGAATCGCAGCTGTGTGAGTGCTAGAATACCCAAACATGAATTAGACTCACACGCATTTGGCAAAAGTTCAGAAAAGGAGCTTAATCTGGTTTCATCTGAGACTGCTTTTCTCTGGGCTGCAGCACCCCCGCCCCCCAAGATGTTGTGTCTGACATCAGATCACAACGTAATGGTAATGACGCAAAAGAAGAGGAAGCCTGGAAAACAAGGGGCACATTTTCCCCCTCGGAGGTCTCCTGACCCCCACTTCTCTCTTTGCTTTCCCAGGACCCACCCCTGAAACTCAAGGCCGTTCACCTATTAGATAAATTAATCATATGCCCAAAGCAGTGCCTCTAGCTCTCTGATCTCACTCATATCTATAATTAAGGGTAAATATAATCTTCCTTTTTCGAGATGAACCACCCACCCATTACATTTAAAGTGCTGACTGAAATGAAATAATAGTTCAGAGCAAGATGATTTTAGTTTAACAAGAAAAAAAAAGTTGATAATTTAAGCTTCGAGCAGTTACTTCTATTTTTGATTACCATTCACTTATAAATCTAATTTGAGATATAAGCCACTTCTCTGTTTCCCAAGTTTAATTCATGGTTTACATCCTTGGTTGTATAAGCCAAGCTTAGTAGTTGATGAAGGAGCGAAGGTACTCACTCAGCCCCGAATGGAATAAGGTCAGGGCTAAGATGACGTTAGAAGTCTTCATGTTCAGACCTGCTAGGAAACAAACAATGGTGTGATTGCCTTGACCCTCTCAGAATCTTGACTTCAGTATCTGCATGGCTATGTCAGGCATGGCTGTGTGCTGGGGAGTGGGCCGCAAGAAGTGAGTGACTCTCCAGTCATTGGAGCTTAGTGAACAAAGTTGGTATGTTTTCTTCTTTGGTGGTTGTGTTTTAAGGCTTGAAATTGTTTGCCTTTGGATGAGAAGCAGGGGAAGGGCTTGTCTCTTCTCATCTGGACAGTTAAACTGATTCACAAGCATGGCTTTAAGATTTACAGGTTAGATGTGGGAAACACCACATCTTGCTTCCCATGTTTCCTGGTTGACCTGATTGCTGTGAAGCTAGAATAACCACGGAACACAAGCTTGCACAATGTAAAAAGCAAAACCCAAAACAACAAAATACAGGACCCTTAAACTTTCTGATCCTATTTAAGGCAAGGATGCATTTGCCCATTTTGAAAGTAGACTTGGCTTTTAAACTTAAAGTCCATGAAATATAAATTTGTTTTCAAAGCTATACATACTTGGAGGTAATTTTATCAACAGATGAATGCCTTATCTTTTATGTGTACTGTTTATTTAATTTGCCTTAATCAAATGCCATTGACTTTTAAACATTCATGTACCCAAGTGTTTCAGCAGTGGAAATTATTTTTAATCTTTCTCATTACTACAGAGGGTGAGGCGTGTGACATAAAGACCAAACAATAGTAAATAGTCATTGTTCATTTTACCAGTAGACCCTACAATAAGAGCGCATATATTTTTATCTTCATTTTCCCTGTGGGGGTGATTAGTGCCCCTTTAAATCTGAGGAAATGTTTATTTTTGTTTCTTTAGAAGAATGATTCCATTGTCTAAGTGAAAAAAAGGGGAGGTGGGGGGGGGTCAAACAAGTCTAAAAGAAAGAAGCAGGAATGCGTTCTTTTTTTTTTTTTTTTTGGTGGGTGAGCGATTGTCAGGAGTCTCCATTTGGAAGTGCTCTGTAACTTTGCTGCTGTCATTCCACATAGTTCATGTGGCTTTGTAGAGGACTTGAAGGCTGATTTGCTTATGCCTGGCCCATAGGAAGATTGTCTTTGAAATCAACAACAAGCAGGTCAGGCCCAGCCAGTTAACTGTGCTATCATTATCTTTTTTCACAGTTCTATTGTGAATCTTCTAAAACCCAGGGCAGCGAGCTTGTTTCTTTTTAGTTGCCCTACTGCATAGATTTCCTTTTCTGGGAGTGAAATCTTTGCTACCAGGACCAATAGGAGTCAACCAATGGGTAGGCCCATTGGAAAGAGAAGTGAATATTTCAGAATATTTGTTCAACCCTTGCTTGAGGACTTTATATATTTTTTTGGGAAAAGGGATAAAAGGAAAAATAAGAGTAATAGCTGCCAATACAATGTCTATGTTATTGACAGATACCAAGCTAGTCTTATTCCATGGGTCATGAATGATGTAGCTTAATGGTAGACCATTTGCCTAGAACGCAAGAGGCTCAGCACACTGTAAAATAGTAAAAACAACAATACTATATTATTATTTTCAAACTCTTTTCCCAATAAAGTGAAGACTCAGTGGTAGATTTACCAACTTATAGAGAGACAATAACTTCATATAACAGTAACACCTTTATCAGTGGAGATATCAAAAAAAAATATTCTTGGAATAAGAGTTAAATAAATGGAGAAGAATTTGCCAAGAGTGAAATTCCAGGTAGAAATTCTAATATTTGAATGCCTAAGATGATAAAAATAAATGCTTGATGTCATATCCCTAAATTCCCTAATTCATAGAAACGTTGGTTGTAATGTGCTTGGTGCTTTAGTTTGCCTCTATTAATACTTTCCTGTCTTCTGAAAGTTCTAGAAATGCAATAGTTGAGTGTGCTGATGTTAGATTTTTATCTGGCAAATGATCCAATTTTCATCCTTTGTGGATGAAACTAAGATGTTAGCAATGAGCTAATTGTTCAGTAATATCTTTTCACTCTTAGAATCTCTTCTTCAGTTTTTTTTTTTTTTTTAAGTAATGTTTATCATGTATCCCTTGAAAAAGTCGTAAGCTGGAAGCAGGGAAGACAGGCATGCCAGTGGCTGATTAGCCTGTGATATATTGTTCACCAATAGGCACAGAACCCCCCCCACCGTCGCCAGCTCTCTCTATGATATTTAGCTATATTTTGGTGGTGAGGAGAGCTTCGAATTTTTGATTTTCCAGCTTATGGGTCATATTTGACCAACTGCTTTCACTGGAAGACATGCCACTTTGTTGAGCTATTTAGGAATCAAAAAGGCTGTCTTAATTTAAAACAAGGACCCTTTGTTTTAGGTGGTGACTGCCTTGTGAAATTTTTCAGTTCTCAGCGGGTTAACCAGGGAACAGGGGCAGAGTCATAATTGGCCTATTTAGAGTATTTTGCATGTGAATAGTGTGTTAGTGAAGCATCCCTAAGTCTGTTGTGAGTGACATGGTGATTAGAATTTAGATTAGGGAAAACACATTCTGTACTTTATCAAGGACAGTAATTAGTTCCATCAGTAAAAGTTGATTACAAGTAACGATAAAGTTAGATTTTTTAGTACTTAATTTTAAAATTTCTTTATTAAATAGCAAATTTGTTCTTAATATAAATGGTACTATCTACACTTGTTTTATTGCCTATCAGAATAATTGAAAGAACAATGTGTTCAATGCAGAGTATAATCAGGAGGTTTATATTGTGGGTAAGTTTCTATGTAGCTTTTAGAAAATGTAATATTATGTAATCTGTCTTATGTCATCATTTTTTGAAAAATTAGCAGTTTGTCACACCATGATAACTTTATATTTGCAGGAATGTGTTAGTGTTCAGGTAAATGTTTAATCCATGGGGATTTATTTTAGTTTCTGGTCGTCTTCAAGAGGGAATGCTGAAGTCCTCAGGGTCATTCCCGTTTGCAGAGGATGCCTACTTCTGCTATAATCTTGAAAGTTTGCCCTGGGATTTGAATTTCTTCTCCACTCATCTGGCATCCTGTGCAAAGTCCTGGATGATCAGGATGTGTCCGGTAGAGAGTGGGCCATCCATACTCATCCTCAGTGTGTGCAGCCGGGAGAAGTTGTATGTTTTCCAAGAAAAATGAGATTCATGTTAGTCCTTTAGAAACAAGGGTGTGAATAGTTCCCAGTATGGGGAAAGAAAACATTCATGTTAAATGACATTTTCTTATGGAATTAAAGTGTTAGTCATCTGAAAATGATTTTCAAAATATATTTGGTTTAGAGGGTACCATCTACTGTCTTCAAAGTAAAGGGTTAACAACGCGGAACTTGATGAGAGCTTCCTCACTGGCTTTTGCTTTTCGGCAGTTGTTTGGTTAATTGTCTTAGCTCAGTAAATGCTCCGCTCAACATCGAGTGTGAGGTGGTAAATGTGAAAAATTAAACTTCCGTATTTGTTTTTTTTGTTTGTTTGTTTTCACCTTCTAGCAGAGTCTCCTTGGAGGGGACATGGATATGGGCAATCCAGGAACCCTTTCGCCCACCAAACCTGGCTCCCAGTACTATCAGTATTCTAGCAATAACACCCGGCGGAGGCCTCTTCACAGTAGTGCCATGGGTAAGGCCCCTTTCTGTTTGAATGCCTGGAGTCTTTATTAAATTCACTTTTAAAAAATGCCATCCTACCCCTACTTTGCCCCAGAAAGGACAACCCCCATTTCCCCATAACACTGAGTCAGCCCTCAGCTTGGTGTCTTTTCCATCCCCCAGGGATTATGGTAACAATTTACACAGCAAGATAACTTTTTAAATGTTTGCTTATTTCAGTGTGTCACTTGGCTGTGCACACAAGAAAGCTTTGTCTTAAAACACAGAGCCGTCCCAGGTAGATAGATCCAGTCTGGTAGATTTCACCAGGAAAGCGGAATTTGAATTCTGGTAGAATGAAGCATGAAACAGGAGGGAGAGAAAGCTAGAATGCCTACCCTGCTCTCAGTTTCCTCTCAGATACTAAAGCCTCTTCTTGGTTTACTATCTTTTCCTTTGGAGAACTGGGCATGTGGGAGCTCACAGCTTCTTCGTTTTTTGTTTTTGTTTTTTTTCAGAGGTGCAGACAAAGAAAGTCCGAAAAGTCCCTCCAGGTTTGCCCTCCTCAGTAAGTACTGCCTGTTTTTGCTCCATCCTGTGTCCACTGCGTTCAGTTTGGTATCAGTAGAAGGCAATAGAAGTCAATGAGGTTCCATGCGCCCAGAGCTGTGTGTGCATCTAGAATGTGGAAGAGGTAGAAAGGACCAGCTACCTGACCCTTGCTGTGGTGATTAATTGCCCCTGCTGGAAGGCTGCGGGCTTATGTTGGTAGTCAGCAAGTTAAGCTCTGAAGAGAGCCTTGAAAAGGCACCTCAACTTGCAGAGCTTTACCTGTACAGGGCTTTGGAGAGCATGAGTATTAGTTTCATGTGTTGGTTAAATTCTTTGTCAGTATTATGATGATTTATGGATTTGCATGCGAAAGGAGATTTGTGGAGCGGATTTAGGGAAAATTTACATGGGTTTCAGCCCAGAGTGCAGGGAGAATGTCTCTATTTTCTGAAGAGGTTGATGAATAAGGACTGCCAAGGTGGTCACTGTTTGCAATGTAATGCTAGGTGAGGATAGAGGAATCCAGCTGTAACCAAAGCATTCTGGGCATTCTTAATACCTGGAGCTGTGTCTGAGGCTGCTGTGATGCCCCAGGCCCCAGGCCCCAACCTAGGAAAAGTTGGTTGTGATCACAGGAAATGCATGACACATTGATTTGAGTTCATGCATTTGCAAATTTTTTGTCCTAGGAGGTATTTAATTTGTTTATAACCGATCCATTGCTAGTAATTTTCTCCTTATGTAAAATTTTAAAAAAAATATTTCCTGTCTTTTTCATGTTTCCTTCTCTTTTTTTTCATCCTTCCTTCCAGGGTTGTACATGTAAAGACAGTTTTAAATTAATCTTCTAGTATGTAAAAAAAAAATGACTAATGGGCCTTATAAGTTCTTACACTTTAAGACAAAATTATATTTAGATTTCTGAGAATGTATTACCAATCAGTGCTCTCATTGGTTCGATTTCATTTTTAGGAAATTGGAAGAATAATGGGGTTTGCAGATGTGCTAGATTAATCCACACACCTGTGTATTTGACTTGATTTCGGTTCAGCTCATCCAAAAAAATTATTAAATGAATGTATCAGAATAAGTCTTATCAAAAAACCCCACAAATTTTGTATGCTGATTATCAGACTTGATAATGTTGAAGAAGCACCACAAAATTAGCCATAAATATGGAAAAATATTGTGTAAATAAAACTGCCAATGGCATATAAAATAGTCATTTTAGAATATCAATATGTCACTTAAAACTGTACCATGTTGTTATTTCTTGAGTTTCTATATTTTATTGAAATTGGCTGTTTTTGTAGGCACATTTTAAGCTTGGAGTTAGTGGTAGAGTTAATGTAGATGAAATTTTTGATTTTAATAGTTTTAATGACAGCTTCAAATGATAAAGTCCTTGAAGCTGTTTACATTTTAAACATAACCCTGATAATGCTAAATACATTAAAAGGGCCTAAACCTATCTCATGCCATCTATGCCTAAGGTTAAAATAAATTTTGAGTGTTTTTGTTGTTGTTTGTTAGTTTTTCGGGGGTTTTTCCACTGCAAAAAAAATTTGCAGAAATCTTCATACTTTCTTAGGAGTTCTTGAAGTATCTATGATGTTACTAATTATCAATAGTTACAAATATTTAAATATTTTTTTCTCTAGTTAGCTGGTCTCTACAAAAACATTTTCAAGGGTTTTTATTGCTGTTGGTGGCACATCCCTTACACTATGCTCAGAAAACAGAAAATCTTTTTCTTCTAACACATGACAGTTCAAAATTGGAAATTTGTTTATATTATTCAAGTTTTGGGTTTTGATGGACAGTCAGTTTAGGATGAACTCTTGTGAGAGAACATTTCGTGGTTAAATGTCTTAATGGCCCCATGGGATACATTGATAAATAGCCCTTCTTCAAAAGACAAGAAACAAGATGAAAATTCAGCGAAGGTTTAAGCAGAAAGAAGGAGATAGGTTTGAACAGTTGTGCACTCTAGTTTCCTCTTTACTTGGTAAGTCTAGAACATCTCGGGTCTCTTGCAGTTGCAGTTTGGTTAGTGTACCCTAACTTTGTTGTGTCATTCTATTACTGATAATGAGATCCCACGCCTTGCCATCATAAAAAAAAAGTGTGTATTTTTACTTGATTTTAGGAAACAGCCTGTGCTAGACACTATAGCAGTCTGGCTCCAACAGGTCTAGGTTTCTGTATTTTTAGATCTCTCTCTCCCTTATTTTTAAGTTCAAATAAAATTATGAAATGTGTCTGACTCAAGATACTTCTAAACCTTGCTTCAACATATTCTTGAGTATATGTGTAGCACATAGTAAAGAACGGGGTTAGCTTTCTTTCACAGTGATTAGATTAGATGAAGGCATTTATGTTCTCTTAGATAGATATTGACCATGGTAGATAGGAATAAATCTATCTCAGTCTATTGTGTCAACTGATGCCCTGCCCCCAGTGAAATGGACCCTCTCTCTTTCATAGATAAGCGGAGGAACATTTCCAGTGTGGTATCCCATAGTCACATATTGTGGTACGATTGTGAGAAAGAGGTGGACTTCCCTTGCTGTCAAGAGGCTGGTCCTTTCAGGCTATCTGGGTCAAGGAGGTGGGGAGAATCCCCTAGCTTTGTTTAAAAGCTGTGCTTTGGCTTCAGAGAGAGGGAAGGGGAGGGAGGCAGAGGGGGAGGGGAGCGAGAAAGGGAGGGAGAGAGAGAGACACACAGACAGACAGACAGACGGACAGACAGACTGACAGAGACTTGGCTCAATATTGTGTCATAGTTTTGGTGGGAGGCATGAGCATGCATTTGTACTGTATGCCACATCTAGAGACCTCGAGTCACCCTGAAGGCTTGACATAGGATGGTATAAGAATCATCCACAAGGCTTACAGTCTTTAGCACCACAGAGGAAGAGAAGACAGGCCCTCTGGAGAACAGAGGTCTGGAGCGCTGTGTAGGGTACTTTGATTGTTTAAGGAAAGACTGTGGAAAATGATACTTGTTCAGAGAGCCCCACTTCCTGTTGTCAAACGTTGTCCTGGGCCATGTCCCACTATTTCCTAGCCTTCCTCTTCTGAAGGGACTTCAGGAGTAAAGCTGTGTGTGTGTGCTTGAGGCTACCACTTATCTCGAATTTCTAACCTTTTGAATCTACACGTGAACTTGTTGTCTATTCAGAGCTCCATGTCTCGATTTTTCTACTTTAAAGCATATTTCCTCATGATCTGGGTACTTTGCAGCTTTACTACCCTTTCCAGCAAGTTTCTTGTTTGTGAATAGCTTAGTAATCATACACATTGAGTTGTGCATTTATGCAAAGAAAAAAAAGGCACAATATTAAATTATAGCTTAAGAGAAATGATCCATGCTTTTTTTTTTTACGAGAAATTATTGTGATAGAATTAAAATCTAGAAAGTAACAATTTCTAAGTGTACTGTTTAAAAAGATTCTTATGAAATGCACAGAAAATAAAAGAGGAACAGATGTCATTTGGAAATTTTATTGTGCACACTAGCATGTAAACATACAAAGCCTTGGTCATCAAATTGAAATTATGTGTGTTTTATCAGCAAGTGTGAAGAAGAGGTACAGCTTTGTATTTCAGACATTTGTGGAGTTGGTCTCCATTTTAATTGTGAACTTCTCCATAGGCTCATTCAGGCTTTTGGGAGGGAACATTGTAAGATTTTGGAAATACAAAGGTTTACCCTAATATCTATTTTATGACTTCTGTCATCTCCAGGGAGATCTTCACAAACTGAGTTGTTCAGTAAAGTCTAATTTCCATGCTAAGTTGTAGTTTTGTTTTATTTATTTATGTTTAATTCAGGAGGATCTGGCAAGCTTTAAGTGGTCAGAGATAATTTTGGATGCACAGATCCTGAGGAGAAGATTCTAAAATAAGCTTGGAACATGTCCAAGAAAATTTGAGGCATGAGTGGCTCCTTAGGTGGATTTGAGAAAACAAAACTGTAGCATGTATTTGGTACCATTTGATATCCCCAAGGAACATGAATTCTTAGGGAAAATAAAATCTTTAAGTCTGGACTTAACTATATTTTATAGAGAGTTTATCAGATACATCAATGAAAGTAGATAATACTAACAGTGTTAATTTTCTTAGATATTTTCCATCACATTAAAAAATCATTTGAGTGTTTTATATATGCTATTGAATCCATACTTCAAAGTATTTCAGATTTTTTTTTCTCCTCAGATGCTTAAAGAAATCTCAAATGATTTCTCAAGAGTGTTATAAGGCAATCATAGACACACTGTTTTGTATCTCATGGTGCATTTTCATGTCAACACATTTTAACCTGAGCAGTAATACAACCCCTTTTAAGATGGCTGTGGCAGTATTAAACATGTCATGAGTACATTGAGCATGGGCCATTTGGACTTGGGCTTGTATGGAGAATCTAGAAGCACCCAGTATGTGATAAGATATAACAGAAGGTGTCTTCAAGGTCCTTTCCTGTAGTGATACAAGCAATTGTAATGGTTTACATTAAAATGTTAGGTCAGCTCATAGAATCAACTCTGAATTTAGTGTGCTCATATTCTAGCTAAAGATACTAAAATAGGAGATTTGATTATATAAATAAAGCCAATAAATTATAAAAATATATAGGGAGGAAGGAGATTAAGGTAATGCAATTAAACCATGCAAATAAGACAAGAAGCATTCGCCCAGCTTATATAGCATATATAACACAGCAGTGGGGACACTGTGAAAACTGGGAGACCGTTCATCACTAAGTATTTATTTGTTCATGTAGTGAATGCAGGATTCACGAATCCAGCTGTGGGCTTTAAGTTCAGTGATGCGTTCTCTGGAAATCAACCTCATTCTCTCCATTGCTTTCAGAGGCTAAATACAAAGTTCAGTTTTGTATGAGATTCTCAGATAGGAAATAAGTACAGGAAGGTCTTTGCATTGGGGACTCATTAGTTCAGAAAGCACACACAGGAAATATGCACCATCACCATTTGGCATTTGGCGTTC